CTTTGTATCCACTACTCTTGTCTATTCTTTTTTTTTTTATGATTTATTTATTTAGGGGCGCCTGGGTGGCTCAGTCGTTAAGCATCTGCCTTCGGCTCGGGTCATGATCCCGGGATCCTGGGATCAAACCCCACATCAGGCTCCCTGCTCAATGGGAAGCCTGCTTCTCCCTCTCCCACTCCCCCTGCTTGTGTTCCCTCTCTCGCTGTGTCTCTCTCTGTCAAATAAATAAATAAAATCTTTAAAAAAAAAAAAAGATTTATTTATTTATGTAAGAGTTGGGGAGGGGCAGAGGGAGAGAGAGAGAGACTCTCCAGCAGACTTTCCACTGAGCGCAGAGCCCCACTTGGGCCTCTGTCTCATGACCCTAAGATCATGACCTGAGCTGAAAACAAGATTCGGAGGCTGAACTGACTGAGCCACCCAGGCATCACTACTATTGTCTGTTATTTAAACACAAAAGTTTTTTTTTAATGTGACCTAATGGTCACTTTCTACCAATTTTGGGTTTTCTTTTTCCTGTAGAGCCTTTAATGTTCCAATTAATATCTCTCTTTATCGTATTTTCTATCTTTTCTGAAGTGAAATATAAAAATTAAATTCATTGCTAAAGCAGCCCTTAAGTCTTTTGCTACTTATTTTATCTTCTCTCCAGTACTTATTACATATGGAATTATTTGCTTTCATATTAGTCATTTGTCTACTCTACCACCACCTGCACTAGAATGTAAGTTTCTTGAAGGCAAGGACTCTATCTTAGATATCATTGTTGTCCAGCATCTAGAAGGTGTGTTTGGCATGTTATATATAAATAATTGGTTATTGACTCACTATCCACATAAAAAAGAAGACTACAGCTAAATATAGAACTTGAGTGTCTGTAGCCCTTATTGTAATTGGAATTATCATTTTGTAAATTGCTCTTTTTAATCTGCCATACATTTTGAAGCATGGCAGTCATATGAAGAGATCTATATATACTATGTCAATGTTTCTAATGTTCTATACATGACACAGCCTGTACTTTTCATTGGAGAATTCCTATCATATAAATTAATTGGATCTGTTTGTTGAATAACTACCCTCACGACATGTAACTTTTCTCTTTTTTCTAAAGTGACATTTTGAGATGGAAATATCACTTGAAAATTAAAAGAGCATACCTCTTACTGAACTTTGAATTTTTCCAAAAATAAAGTCTTGCTAAAAACTTGTCTTTATCCAGAAACCAAGGAAGAAAGCTATGGAAAGTTCTAGCAACAGTGATAGTGATTCGGGCACATCATCAGACACCTCAAGTGAAGGCATTAGTAGTAGTGATTCAGATGATCTAGAGGAAGATGAAGAAGAAGAAGATCAGAGTATTGAAGAAAGTGAAGATGATGATTCTGATTCAGAGACAGAAGCACAACATAAGAATAACAACCAGGTATAAATAGTTTATTGGCAGTATCCACACATTCTTCCTATTTAGGAATTAACTGGTTTATCTTGACTCTCAAAGTCTATAAAGTTTAAAGTTAATCATGTCTTTAGTTCTTAACATTTGCCCAACAAAGGAGATGGAGAAACATTTTTAAAGGGACATTTGGTATATTTTCTAGTGAGCTTTATGTAACTATCATAAGTAATTAGCACTTTTTAAAGTACCCTTTTTTCTCCAAATTTACTGCTTGACATTCTTTGTTTTAATAGATACTGAGAAGTCGTCTTTTTATTTTTATTTACAGGTGCTATTACATGGTATTTCAGACCCAAAAGCAGATGGACAGAAAGCAACTGAAAAAGCCCAGGAAAAAAGAATACACCAGCCATTACCTCTTGTGTCTGAATCCCAGACTCACTCATCATTCCAATCCCAGCAGAAGCAGCCTCAGGTTTTGTCACAGCAGCTTCCATTTATTTTCCAAAGCTCTCAGGCAAAGGAGGAATCTGTGAACAAACACACAAGTGTAATACAGTCTACGGGATTGGTGTCCAATGTGAAACCTTTATCTTTGGTAAATCAAGCCAAAAAGGAAACTTACATGAAACTCATAGTTCCTTCTCCTGATGTACTTAAAGCAGGGAATAAAAATACCTCTGAAGAATCTAGTCCTTTGACCAGTGAAATGCGATCCAAACGGGTAAGTGAAAAATTACTTATAGAAGAATTTTATTATTAGAGAAAGAGCTTTTATATTGTCTTACAATATATGTTTAAATTAAATTCTACTCTTATTTCCATACTTTATTAGTTACCAGGAAGAGAATATGCACACGAGAAGGCTAGATTTCTCTGATTTTATAGTTACATATACATCTGCTTAATATATTTTTGGCAACACGATTGTGTCATTTTTTTTTTCCTGAGGTATGATGATTTAGTAGTAAGGGGAGACATATGTTAGAATAAGATATACTCCACAATTATTTTGTTTAAGATCAATGTCCTTTTTTTTCTAATATCAATATATTCTTTTTTAAAGAAATAAACTTGAATAGTTTACTTCTGTGATCCTATCAATTACAAGCATAAAAATCCTTTATGAAGAATCATTTTCCTTTGCCATTTTTTAAAATAATTTTTTTAAGATATATTTACTTAGTTTAGAGATAATGTGTGGGGGTAGAGGCAAAGGGAGAGAATCTCAAGCAGACTTCTCGCTGGGTGGGGAGCATGGAGCCCGACTCCAGGCTAGTCTCACAACCCATGAGATCATGACCTCAGCTGAAACCAGGAGTCAGACATTCAACCGAGTCACCCAGGTGCCCCCCCCCACTTTTTTGAAGAATTTTTTTAAAGATTTATTTGTTTGTTTTAGAGAGAGAGTTTCTTTGCCATTTTTAACAAATTATGTGAAATACAAAATATTTTGAATAATTTTATTTATACAAATACCAGAACTACTAATCAGAGAATTTTTTCTTCTTTATTTTCTTGCTATTGATTTTATATTACTACATAGTCTACATTCATAAGTCTAGTAGAATTCTAATAATTAAATGACCAATGCCTTTTATTCTAGAACCAATCTAGAGTAGAGAAAATATATTATGTTTGAACATAATATCCTGTCTTTTGATTACAAAAATTGTCATTAGGCCTCCTAATCATTAGATAATTCTTGTACAGCTCCTGCGGTTTGCCAGCTATTGTGAAAATGCATTTACTCATTGAACACTAACATCTGTAAGTGCTACTGATATTATAATGCCATTTACAGACAATCAAGTTGAGATTCATGAAACTTAAATAATTCCCCCAAGATCACACTGCTAGTTAGTAATAGAGTTCATATCTGGGCAGCATAGCACTAGAATCCTTGCTCTTAAACACTGTGTGATATGCTGCCATTCTTTCTTAAAAAAGTTACAGTGTCCTTGTCCATTAAATCTTATTTTACTGTGAAGAATTTAAGAACAGGGTCAAAGTAAAAAAGACTTGGATAAATCAGGCCTTTTTGAGAATCTAAATGAGTAGTTCACAAGCCTAAGTATACACTAGAATCACTTGGAAAACTTAAAAAAAAAAAAAAGAATAACACCTCAGAACAATGAAATCAGGACATCTTGTGCTGAGACTAAGGTATTGCATATATCAAAAGCTTCCAGGCGCGCCTGGGTGGCTCAGTCGTTAAGCGTCTGCCTTCGTCTCATGTCATGATCCCAGGGTCCTGGGATCGAGCCCCACATTGGGCTCCCTGCTCTGCAGGAAGCCTGCTTCTCCCTCTGCCGCCCCCCCCCCCGCTTGTGTTCCCTCTCTCGCTCTCTCTCTGTCAAATAAATAAATAGAATTAAGAAAAAAAAATGTGTCCAAATGGATAGCCAGATTTGCGAACCCCTGATCTACATGGAATGACCAATGGTATTATACCATGCATATGATAACCTGTAATGCTCTGCTCAGTCATAAGGAAGTATTATTATTGGCATCACATTATTGACTCTCCATGAGTAAATTAAGCAAACTAAAAATTACATTGAGTTATTTTTTCAATAACGTATATTCTACTTTAAGATAGATTATAGAGCATATCAAGAGTTATTTGCATTTTGAAAGGTTTCTGGATTTTTCAAAGTTTCTTAAATATTTCTTATTAAAATAATTTTATATGACTGCCTATTAGAAAGTCACTTATTAAACACTTGCTTAATAAATGTAACCAACCTAGACTTCCTATACATTTGATCATATGTGATTCTTACAAAATTGTGTGAGGTAAAGAAACTAAGGCTTAGAGAGATTAAGTCACTTGCTAACATCACAGAACAAGTAAAGAGCAGAAGGATTTTAAACCAAGGTCATTCTTACATTAAAACCCATGATTAAGATGAAATAATTTGGTGTTTCTAAAATGATAATGGTAGTTCATGAGAAATATTTTATGTGAGTGGATCTTCACATTAGACTCAACTCCAAATGACTTTATCTACTTTTCATTGGTACCTAGTATTGAGTTATAGGGTATTTTATAAATATTTTTCTTATATCAGCTCTCTTTCTTTATATGACAGTCTAACATATAGAATTTTGCTTTATTCTTATGATAGTCTCTATTTCATGTTACCTGCCATGTATGTTTCTCCCACTAGTCTGTGATTTTTTTTAAGTATTATTTAATCATTGGTTCTTTCCATACATGTATAGTATAGACATTTAATTCAAATCGGTACACATTAATTGGATCTATATAACAGTAGTGAATTTTCTTTATCAAATTTTGCCTAGAGGATTTTTTGTGTGGACTGAGAGACTCAGTAAGGGCTGGGAACAAGAACTTGGAGGAAGGACAGAATTTCAAACCTGTCTCCATACGCTTGTCATCCAAGTGTCATCCAAGAACAGCAAGACATTTACTTCTGTGCAGTTCTCAATTTTCTCCCCTCTTCCTTTTTATGTACCACCCCCAATATCAAAAAGCACAACATATTTGCCTTAAAAAAGTAACTGCTACTACTCTTAGGATAAAATACAGTGATCTTTGGTTATTTTTGAAAACCTTCAGGTGTCAATATATGGGAAGTGGGTCTTTAGAATTATGGAGTGAGAAGCAATTTCAGAAAATTAAAACATAAAACTAAAGGGCGAGGTTTTGTTTTCATGACTGTTTTGATCCTATGTATTTAGAAGGCAAATTTACTACCTGTAAAAAAAGAGTACAAAACGATTATATGACATAATTTTATTCTAAGAAATGAAAATACACTAAATTTTTCTGCTGAAAATTTAAATCAGTATATATTAAATATGAAGGTAAGTACATTATATAATATATACTTACATGTAATATATATTTCTTTATTATATAAATATTAAGTAAAATTAAGTATGTTAATGTATTTTATATAAGAATTTTGCCATAAAATTCTTTTTAAAAGGTAAATACAATAATTTAGTATAATTTTCCATATTTTATTCACTGAATAAATACTAATTAAGCACTTTCTTTTTGTGAAGCATTGCCTTAGGTATGAGTATTATGTGACAGTCTTTGTTTACAAAGTGAAGTGTTACAGTAAAGATGTTAAATAAGATAAAGCAGTTTATTAGGAATTGCATACTGCTTATTAGTACCGCTCCTTTAAAAGACTCAATACGTCATTCTATATTGCATTCCATCTGCATTTATACTTCTGAAATGCCCACCACAAATTTTTGCCGACTAGAGTGTTAAGAGCCCAGATCCAAGCTGACGGCACTGCTGATTTTAATTTTAAGGCAGCCATTTTCATTACAGATTTTACCTTCTGAAATTTAACTGTATTTCTAGTAACTTAAAATATTTTAATCATTCTACTTAAGTATTTCATGTATTAATTATATATATTTAATAAAGTTATATGGTTTTATTCTTTTTAAGAAGATTCTGAGAGCCAAATAATTTTTTGTTCCTATTTACAGATGTAAGTTTTATGGCTTAGTGGTTTACAAATCAATTTTTTCCAAAAGTATAATTTTTCTAAACTATTGTCTTACACGCTTTCTAATGCTAATGTGCTAAAGGCACTGTAAGGTAGATCCCACAGAATGTTGAGCCAAACGTCCCAACAGCTTCATATCATGTATGCTGCGGGTAGTACAGGGTAACAAATAGGAGGTAAAGGAGTTCAAAGGATAGAGATAATGAGTGCTTCTGGCTGGAACAAACCTGGAAGACTTCTTGGGTGGGATTTTGAAGAAGGAACAAGATTTCATCAGCTTGAGATTTATAAGAGGAGGATGTTTCACACAGAGAACATGATTATAGCAAAATGTGGAGGTAGTGAAAGTATGACATGCACAGGGCATGGCAAATAGTCCAGTTTGACTAGAAAGTTCTATTAGTGCCTACTTGAAAAGTCGTCTGAGGATCAAAATTAAGTGTTTAGGCTTTATAAAGTTGCCAATGACAAAGGAGACACTAAAACTTTTAACCAAGGAGCTAATACAACAAAGTAAAGGCTGTAAATTAAGATAAAATTGGCATTGTCATATAGCATATATTGGGAGTTGTGTGGGAAGAAAGGGTGGTATGGCTTAAGTTTGAGCAATATTTTAAGGAAACAACCCAAAAGACATAGGGATATGGCTGACTTGGAAGAGAGAAAAGTAAAAGATGTTTTTAGAGTTTCAGATTTAGATTATCAAGACAGTGGGAGCAATAATAATGAGAGAGGGGCAGTCAGGAAACCTATATTTTGAGGGGAGAAAGACTAATTGAATTTTAAACGTATTATGTCTAGCCAAGATTCAGCAACCAACTAGTCATTACTGCCACTAATCTTAAGCACTTGTATATCATAATTTAAATTTGTATATGAGCAGCTGTTGTCAGATATGGGAGGCAAATAGAAGTAATCTTTGTTTTTATGGTACATTGTTGTTTTGTTTTTTAACTTATGTTTCAACAGGAACAATATAAACAGACATTCCCAGCGCAGTTAAAGAAACAAGAGTCATCCAAGAGCTTGAAGAAGGTTATTGCAGCTTTGTCAAATCCAAAAGCAACCTCTAGTTCACCAGCACATCCAAAACAAACAGTAGAGAACAACCACCCTAATCCATTCTTGACAAATGCACTTTTAGGTAATCACCAACCAAATGGAGTTATTCAAAGTGTCATTCAAGAAGCTCCTCTAGCACTTACTACCAAAACTAAAATGCAGAGTAAGATTAATGAAAACATTGCTACTGCAAGTAGCACCCCTTTTTCCTCACCTGTACATTTGAGTACAAGTGGGAGAAGGACCACCGGCAATCAGACAACTGTGATACCCTCTGCCTCTCCCATAGTGCACCCTCAAGGGAAGGAAAAAGCGCTTAGCAATAATGTAAACACAGTAAAAACACAGCACCACCCTCACCCTACAAAATCTCTGGTGGAACAGTTTAGGGGAACAGATTCAGACATTCCCAGTAGTAAAGATTCTGAAGATTCAAATGAGGATGAAGAAGAAGATGACGAGGAAGAAGATGAGGAAGATGATGAAGATGATGAATCTGATGACAGCCAATCAGGTTATTTTCTATTTTTAAATTTGAAGTATTTATCTAAATGCTATGTGGACCAAAAAAGCTAAAGGAGGTTCTTAGTTCGCAGACTTAGAGTCTTTGTCATTCACTGTGTTTCACACAGCTATGTGCCTGTCCATAGTGAGCTGGTAAAATATTGGAGGGATTGAAATAAGAAGTCCTAAGTTAAATTCTCAGCTTTATTATTCATTTAACATTAAACGAATAAAAACTTTAAGTGAAAATAGATGATGCATAAATTAAGAAATAACTTCACAAATTTGCTTAATTTTCTTTTAATTCATGACCATTCATTTGTCCTTTCTTTTTCATTTCTTCTGCTACTTATTTAAATGTGTCAGTAGATATTTTGAATGAAGGAGGTAAAATTGTAGTTAGTCATTTAGAAAGTACCTAAATCCCTACGAATGTCCATTAGCAACACAGAACTTATTTAATCAAGTGGAGTGCTCCTTGATTTTATTTTGATTTGCTTTTTAGTTTTGCTTTTTTTTAAACTTCTTTCTGTTTTTCTTCCCCTTAACTCTCCTCATTGTTCCACAGAAGATTGAAAGCATAAAATATAAAATAATTTAAATTTTATATACAAAGGTGAAATACATATTATAAAAATATTTGGATTTGTTACTGGTCAGCCACAAGTCCAGTGGTAAATTTTCTAGCTGCCAATATGAATAGGAAAATATAGTCAGTTATACAACTTAAAGCATCTAAGGTAGAAACAACCTACTTGCTCAGGGTAAGAACAACTTTTCCTGATAATATTTTTTCCTGGGATTCCCATAAATACAACTTTGCATGATTGAGTATGAATATCATTATTAATAACTTTCAAAGGCAATTTTTATAACAAATTTCAAAATAGGCCAATGGTACTACACAAAACGTGATTCCACAAAAATTGTTATTCTGGGAACCTTTAAAATATGTTCCAAGTATCAGGCCTGTGTTTATCGAAGTTTAATCCAGGAATTAAAAACACCTGTTTATAAGAAGCGATGCATTTATAGGACTACATTCCTAGACCAAACTTAAATAATTAAACCGTTAAATGTTCCCACATAATTATTTCTGTAACCTGGTCTTTTGTGAAGCCTGAGAAGCCTGATGAGGTCTTGCATCTACATAAAATAACTACAACCAGAAAAGCCAAGAATCTCTCAGAAAATGGTTTTCTTTTACCTCAAAGCCCAGATGTAAGAATGATGGTAGTTCCAGACTTTTCTTCCTCATACTGAACCTAGTATACCTCTTAAGCTATTGGAATCTATTAATTTAAAGAATCAATTTTATTCCCTCTACACCTTAGTTTCTCTATTAAATTAAAAATGATTTTGAAACCACTAAGCAGAACTCATCATGTGAATAGTGTCATGTGAGAAGAACTGTTTTATGATTAAAGTGTTGAGTAAAACCGATACTTTTAACAAAGAATCTTGAGAATTTGTAGTCTGCATACATTGTACTCAAATAGCTTGTAAGATAATAAATTTTACATGAACTCTTCAGGAAAGTCGCTCAGTTGAGTTCAATCACAGATGCTGATTCCTAAACTATTCCATTTAGATACAAACTGCAAATGTTGGTGATGATCTAGTTATAATATACAAATGCTTCTTTTACTTCCCAGAATCAGATAGTAATTCAGAATCAGATACAGAAGGATCAGAAGAAGATGATGATGATGATAAAGACCAAGATGAATCAGATAGTGATACTGAAGGAGAGAAAACTTCAAGGAAACTGAATAAAACAACTTCCTCTGTCAAAAGCCCTTCCATCAGTCTCACAGCTCACTCAACACCTCGTAACCTCCACATAGCAAAAGCCCCAGGCTCTGCTCCTGCTGCCTTATGTTCTGAGTCCCAGTCACCTGCTTTTCTTGGCACACCTTCTTCCACACTTACTTCAAGTCCACACTCTGGTACCTACACTTTATTTTTATTATTGTAAAGTAGAAGTCAAACCATAGCAAGAATTATTATTTATCCAGTGTTCTGGGGATGACCTCATTGGAATCAAGTGTTACAGCTAGATTCGAGGTTGGCTAAGAAAGGTCAGCATGTATTTTCAAAGGATATGACCAATTACCATTTTTATTCTGTGCTTCCCATTTAAGAACCTGATTGATGACAGACAGCTCTTGATTTCAATTATCTTCCTGCTTTTGTGTTCAGTTTATGCTCCTAGAATTTAGAATTTGACTAACAGTTGGACTTTTTTGTACTTTATAAAAGTGAGCTCACTAGGTGACTTGAGATACAGTTGCATATCTGCCCAACACATAGCCAAAGGTCATTTGAGTTAGTGAGTAGCATTATTATTTCATTAACATGCCACATCTTTTTTTTTCTATTTGACCTTTTATAAACGTCTAGAGGTCTTCATTAAAAGTTTTTACATTAATATTCCAAAAGGACTTATTTCTATTTCAATAGCTAAGAAAATATGGAAGTGTATAGTGCAGTATCATGTTGCTTTACTTATTTCACTCTTTTCTTAGAAATGTCTAGTTT